AAACAGAGTCTCACTAAGTTGCTAAGGCTATCTTTGAACTTGTGATTCTCCTGCCTCAGACTCCCAAGCCTCTGGGATTATAGGTGTGTTCGACCAGAACTCTACCAATTTCATTTTGGCTTTTGTCCACATTTAATGCTAAGAGATCTCTATTACCTCTTTGAAAGCAGATGGCATGTAAAACCTAGAATTAGAAGCTAAACAGAGAGCTATGATCTATCCCTCTGCCTCCAGTAAGGAAGGACCACACAAAACCCAATTTATATAAGTAACAGTTACCTGTATTTCATAATATTCTGGGAAAGGGCTTCCTGTAGCTGGGACTGTACTCCAGCCTTCTGATTTCTTTAGGCTCCTGATTTCCTAACTGATATGCTTTCCTGTTCTTTAGATTCTGGAGGAAGCCGACCACCAATTTTGCCACCAGGAGGAAGATCCACATCTGCCAAACCCTTTTCACCCCCAAGTGGCCCAGGGAGGTTTCCTGTGCCTTCTCCAGGCCACAGAACCGGTCCCCCAGAGCCTCCAAGGAACCGAATGCCTCCCCCAAGGCCTGATGTGGGCTCAAAGCCTGATACCCTTCCCCCTCCAGTACCTAATACACCAAGACCCGTTCAATCAAGTCTTCACAACCGGGGGTCCCCACCAGTGCCAGGAGCCCTCAGGCAGCCTAGCCCTGGGCCTACTCCTCCCCCTTTCCCCGGAAACAGAGGTGCTGCTTTTGGAGGAAGCTCCATACGCCAGACCCCCTCAGGCTCCTCCTCACCCTTCTCAGGCAGGCCTCCTCTGCCCCCAACCCCAGGCAGGGCCCTGGATGACAAACCCCCTCCACCACCCCCTCCAATGGGCAACAGGCCCTCCTTGCACAGGGAAGCCGGTCCACCTCCTCCCCCTCAAAACAACAAGCCTCCAGTGCCTTCTACGCCGCGGCCTTCCTCCGCCTCACAGGCCCCACCTCCTCCACCGCCACCCAGCAGGCCTGGCCCACCTCCCCTGCCTCCGGGTTCCAGTGGCAGTGATGAAATCCCAAGGCTCCCACAGAGGAATGTGTCCCTCACTTCATCTGCACCTCCCTTACCTTCACCAGGACGGTCGGGCCCTCTTCCTCCCCCGCCTAATGAGAGGCCCCCTCCTCCAGTGAGGGACCCACCAGGCAGATCAGGTATGTCAAGAAATGGGTGAATTGTCTCCCTAAAACCTACCCAAATGTCACTGATGATGCGTACATGAATACAGTCAAAAGCATAAGTAAACCCTCGGGCTGCTCCAGTGCTTTCAAGTGACACTGACGTGTATATGTCATCATGGCCTCATATAACCTGCTAAGGAAAGAACAGTATTTCAGCATGTTTTAAAGGTGAGAAGACAAGAGTAACCAACAAGTAAATGGTCACAGGCAAGTTAATAAGAAAGAGGCTGGAGCTTTCTTCTTCCATCTATGAGGACTCGCCATTCCCTCCCCTGCCTCCCTAATGGGAAATTTAATAGGGAGTCAATCCTCATCTCCTCCAGGAGGGCCCGTGATTCTAAGGAGAATGGCAGTTATATCAGAGCTAATGAGGGTCTGTGTTTCTTTCTCTCTTTGCCAGGCTTTGAGGCCACTACCTTGCTCCTTACAGACAAATGTTAAAAAATCTATTTGTCCTTCATTAAAATCTCTGATATATAAGTCCCTTGGAGAATCAAAGTATAGACCTTCTCTTTATAAAAATTTCCATAGTCATAAACTCTATATTTGCCCAAGCTGGCCTTGAACTTGCAATCCTCCTTCCTTAGCCTTTCAAATAGCAAAGATTATAGGCATGCACCACTGCACCCAGCCAGGAAGCATTTTTAAATTTAACTTCATTTATACCTCATCATGTCAGGAAATGGGAATTTTTTTTCTTTAGGAGAAGTTAACTGACCTTTGACTTTGTGACCTCAGGAACTTAATATACTGGGATCACATGAGGAGCTTTAAAAACCACAGAAACTTGGGTCCCTGCCTGGGGATTTCTTGTATAATTGGTCTGGGATACACACTGGGCATCAAGATTTTTTTTTTTTAATTCAGGGGTCAATCTAGGGGCTCTCAACCATTGAGCCACTTCTCTATCTCTTTTTAGTTTTTTATTTTGAGACAGGGTCTCACTAAGTTGCTTAGGGTCTTGCTAAATTACTGAGGCTAGCCTCCACCTTGCGATCCTCCTGCCTTAGCCTCCCAAGTCATTGGGATTACAGGTGTACACCACTGTGCCTGGCTGGACATCGATATATTTGAAAGTTTCCCAGAGTTTTTAATGTGCAGCAAAGTTTGAGAACCACTCCTTCAAAACACTACACCATGGAGAGTGTGCTACAAATATTGAAGAATTACTAGTTCATTAAATCCAGTCCCTAGATGTAATGGCATCTCATTAATGAATGAATGATATCAGGTAGTTAAATGCATAAAATCTGACATTTTTCTTCTCATTCAACTTCTATAAATTTTCCTGCAAAGTAGCTGCAAACCTTTTTGCATGGATCTACCAAATGATGAATGAATAAATTAAATCTTGTTCAAAATATGATAGGCAGTGACATATAAAAGTATTGTTTATTTTTATTGCATAAGTTATACCTATTAAATTTAGAAATAGAAGAAAGTGTACAGAAAATAAAAAATATGATCCTACCACCACCATGCAGAAATAATTATTGATAATTTTATACATATATTTTCAATCTTTTTAATGCATATTTATGTTATTTTTGCAACATTGGTAACATACTACTTATATTAGGTGGTACCTGTCTCCATAATGCTGGATGTCTAGTTTGCATTTAGTGGCAAGTGGAGGCTGATATCACCAGTGAAGTTAAATCCACAGCATTGACACTCAGTAAATCACCTCTTGCTGTGGGGACTCTAGCAGTGACAAGCAGTATGGGACAATAAATGCTACAAGGTGAGACACAGACGCCTCCTTGGGAGAGCAGCCAGCACTGTGCAGTGCCTCCCACCCCCATCAAATGTTTGAGCCCAGACTTTCTGACGGGGTATCTGCAGCGGGAAGGTTGTTCAATTCAAGGTCCCTAAGTCAGATTCTGAATCTATAATATCTGTATTTATAATGCCTTAAGACTGTATTTACATAAAACATCATCATCTTACAAGTGAAACACACTACTAAAAATCAGGAATAATTACTAAGGCCACTTTGATTTACATGGGAAAATGCTCAAGTTTAATATTTTTAAAATTTACTCACTACCCAAACAGCTGCTATATTTGGAATAAGAGAAAAAGCAAGATGCATTTCTTATCAAAAAGAAGAATTTGAGGGTTTTTTTCTTGGAATTTAAAATGTTCTGGTTATACCATATCTTTGAATTTTTAAAAAACAGTATCAAATACTGTTTAGATAGTACTTTTTTTCTTCTTCTTCTTGCTTTTTGACTGATTACTCCAGGCAACAGTGCTGTGAGAAAAGTTGCTACCTGGCACTCCGTGTAGACAGGGAATCAAGCTCTACGGGACAGCAGCTGGCTTACGGGGCAGGACCCACTCTGGCACCAATAGTCAGGAACATTGATTAGCTGTTTGTCAGTGCCTGGGTGCCATCTGCCTGCTCAAAGAGGAAGAAGGAGAAGGAAATCCTACTGTTCTCAGGATGACTGGCTTCCTGATGCCTCTCTGCCTGGAAATGGATCGCAACATGGTTGTGTGGTTAGCAGTGATACTGTGTCCTTAAAGAAATCAATTCTTTTGAAGACCTATAACTTCATAACTATCTTACTCTTTTTTAATTCTTTCATGGTGTCAAAGTGATTAATTCGATAGCTCTTTAAAAGAATTATAAAACATTTTTTAAAAATTATCACCTGTTTTCAGTTTCACCATATCATCTCCAGCCTCGGTGCTAACTCAAAGCCAAACAGCCATTTAGCTCTGAATACATACTGGCTCTCCATACAGATGTGTGCTAGTGCACATTTGTGTGTTTATATATGTCGCTCATTTCTCAAGTCCTGGAAAGTCTCCACCATTTCTCCATGTTCCCTAGTTAAAGCATATGTATCCAGTAGGTAGTCATTAGTTGCATGCTGATGATGAACATAATAGCAATATGGGATATAAGGCAGCATTACTCTAAATATCATCTTTTTTTTTTTTTTTTTGCCTCAGGACCCCTCCCACCACCACCTCCAATAAACAGAAATGGCAGCACATCTCGGGCCCTGCCCGCCACCCCCCAATTGCCGTCCAGGAGTGGAGTTGATAGTCCCAGGGGCGGACCCAGGCCACCTCTTCCTCCTGACAGACCTGGTGCGGGGGCACCTCCCCCACCACCGCCTTCAACTTCAATTAGAAATGGCTTCCAAGATTCCTCCTGTGAAGGTGCGTGGTGTTTGCATCCACTGTCGTCATCACACTGAAGGGCACTGATGTAACTTACCATTTTAGGGCCCACTACAACTTCACCTTGAAACTAGTAATCCTCGTAATTCTCCTCTCCACTTCCCACAAAGGCAGATCATTTGTCTGTAACTTGTTCCTTGCTGGAGTTTCATTTTGATTAACTTTCCAGAGATTCCAGAATTTGGCAGGGGGGCGGGCAGGGAGGTGGGGCCACAACATTTTTGTGGCTTATCGTCTTGTCATCTACATTTCTAAATAGTTGGCTATAGGTAAGAGGCCCAGTGGCCTGCAGCTGTTAAGCTGCTTCAGTCTATCATGTTCTCAGAGTGGTCCCTGTTATTCCTGGTCCCACTGTGGGAAGAAGAGTGTCCTATACCTTAGTCCCCAGCTCCTGAAAGGGTCTGGCTGGATCCTAATCACCCTAGTTTTTTGTTTGTTTTGTTTTTGGTGCTGGAGATTGAACTCAGGGATACTCTATGACTGAGCTGCTTCCCCAACCCTTTTTATTTTTTATTTTGATATAGGATCTCACTAAGTTGCTGAGACTGGCCTCAGACTTGAAGTCTTGCCTCAGCCTCCCAGTTGCTGAGCTTACAAGCATGCATCACATCATCACCCTAAACACCCTAGTTAAATTCTTTTTGGGGTTCCCTCTCCAGCACTGGGAAAAAAAAAAAAAGCACTGATTTGCAGGCCAATATGTTTTATCAGTGTGCTAATCAAGGACATTTGTAAATTTCTAGGCATAAAACTAGAACTGACTTCTGCAGTTCTCTCTATGGTTCGTCTGTGCCTTTCATTACGTAAGCCTGTAGCAGATTGTCTGTTGCTGAAGATACTGTTTGTTTCTTCCCCAGATGAGTGGGAAAGCAGATTCTACTTCCATCCGATTTCTGAATTGCCACCTCCAGAGCCATATGTACCAACGACCAAAACGTATCCCAGTAAATTGGCAAGAAGTGAAAGCCGGAGTGAGTATTTCTGCCAACTTTTGGCAAATGCATACTTGAGTAGCCCGGGTTATGTGTGGCATTATGTAGGAAGTCCAGGCCTCTGACCTGGAGAACGTGATTCCGAGTTCTCTAAATCCTGGTAAACTCCCCTTGCACGAGCAGTGAGGAGGCTGTAGATATTTAGAAAGGGGATGAGGGATAATTATTATTATGTGTCATGGGGAGCTCAGAGACCTTTGGTTTGTCAGGATTAAATGGTACTATTTGGCCTCTTTGATCATTTTTACCCCATTTTGATCTTCCTGAGACAAAGTGAACGGAGAGCCATTTTCTATTCCAACAAGTTTTGAGACTGGCAAAATATGTCTTACTAATTATAGCAAAAACTCACTGTCAACTTTCTTGATATTTTAAATGTATTATAACCATAGCTTTATGGAGCATCTAAAAATCTTAAATATATCCATAATCTCTCCATAGGACAGATATTTCAGTTTTACTAGGTTCTCTTCCCATTCTTCTTCATATACTTCTGATTTTTTATATAGTTATACAGGTTTTTTTGGTGATAGGATTTTCCATAACATCCATCCCCATTTTATCACGTGGCTTTTATTCCATGGTGTTCAGGTTAGCATACAATAGTTGAGCATTATTGGACATTTAGATCGTTCCTGTTTGTTTGCTAATAATACACTATAAAAAATAAAGCACTTTCCCCCTATCCAAGAAATGTGAACACGAAGGGAAAATAGACACATTGGAATTTCACAACAATAAATATTGTGACAGGACTAAGAGAGAATTAGTGTGGGAGCTGGGCATGTAGTTCAGTGGGAGAGAACTTGCCTGGCATGTGCATGGCCCTGGGTTCAATCCCTGGCACCACAAATTGAGAGAGAGAGGGAGAGGGAGGGAGAAGGAGGGAGGGAGAGAGAGGAGGGGAGAAAGAAAGAATGAATGAATTAGCATGAGACATACAAATGTCACCTATGAGGTTCAGACTTATAGCAGACTTCACCTCAAAACCAAATCGAGCAAGTCAAATAACAGTCTCCACAGCCTCAGCCTTGTCCCTACCCCCTGGCAGAGCACCTTACACCCCCTCAGAGCCACTGATTCTTTCTTAACACACCAGTTCTTAATTTTTAGTTGTTGGTTCCACTCTTAGAGCAGCTGATAGCCTTGAAGTTAAGGGCAGTTAGAAGCAAAATCACTGAGTCGGGGAGATGGGTGGCCGCCTCAGGTCAGAGGAGGAGCTAGGAACTCAAGAGTTTCTACTGAGTACATTTCTATTGGGTTAAATTAAATGAGTCAAATTATGCTTTGTGCCTCTGTTGAAGAATTCAAAGTGTTAGGAAATATTTGGGCAAATCTCCATGAAAAAAATGCCAGAAATAAAGAGAACATTGCTGCTTGAAAGAAAAACTAATTCCTTGAAAAATTTATTTAGATGGAATGCCACATTCCTAGACAACACTTAATAAAAAGTTATATAACTTTAACAAAGTTAATATATACAAGTTAGCAGTTCAATATTTTGATGAAAATTAAGCCTTTACATGGAACAGTTATCTTTCTGTGTATGTGTTCATTTAAAGAGGGGTTTCTGTCTGATAGGAGTACGGCCAGTCTTTCTTCCCTCTTGCACATTAACAAATGAATTCACTTTAAAGAGTTGCTTATATAAACTCTAAATACTTTTTCTGACTTGTTATAAACATTCTTAATCTAATTTAAATATTATTCATATTTTTTAATCAATGATAGAACCCATAGCTTCTAGATTTCCCTCCCTACTCTTTCTTCAAAACTCAAGTAAGCAACTTGAGGATGGGAATGATGCTAATCCTGCTCACTACTGCATATTCCACAGAACCTGAAATATAGTAGACATTTTAAAATATTTTTAAATAAGTTAATTTCCACTGCCTGCTGAAGTGGGTTGTTTGGGGGTTTTGTTTGTTTGTTTTTGTTTTTGTTTTTTTGTAGATTTGCTTTAAATATTTCTAGTCTTAGTCATGCTTAACATTTTATAATAATAACAGATCATCTAACAAAAATAAATACATTACTATTGAGCGCCACGTTTTCTTCTGCTTCTGTAGCTGCCCTAGCCTCCATATCCAAAGCCCGGTAGGCACCAAGACCATCCCAAGCAGCACAGAGTACACTCTCAGCAGTGTTGAATAAGGCCAGCCCTCATTTTGCTAACCATTTGTGGTGTGTCAGCTGATGGTCAAGGCTCCACGGCAGGTGGCTGGTTTCCATCCAGATAAGCCTTTGCTCAGACATTTGCTCAAGAAAAGATGGTAAAAGGAAGACACAAAGGAGTAGACAGCTGATATTTTCCTCTAATTCCTCTCCTTGCTCAGATATTTGGTTCTGTCTCAGAAGTCCCTAAGTCTGTAGGGTCAGTGTCGAGACACCTGCTGAGGAACCCAGCAGAGCCAGCCCACTGAATCTCAGAGCCATGGTGAACACGACTACCTAACCAACATGTTCCTCCAGCAGACCTGGCCACAGCCTCTGAACACCTGACTTCATACCTCACACCTGCTAGATCCTCAAAGTATGAGTGTGGGATAAATGACTCTCCAATGTGACTGGGTTTTAACGGCAGTTACAGTTTGTAGCCCACAGATGTGCATAGCTTTTAAAAAGAACACATCAAGAGAGTGAAAAGGCAGTCCATAGAATAGGAGAAAATATTTGGAAATCATATATCTATTAAAGAACTAATGTTCTGATTAAATAAAGAATTTCTACAACTCAACAATAAAAAAAAATCAAAAAATAGATTGAATACTTGATAGGCTTTTCTCTGAAGATATACAGATGGTCAATAAGCACATGAAAAGATGCTCAACATTGCTAGTCATTAGGGAAAGCCAAATCAAACTCCAGTGAGCCAGGTGCAGTGGCACACACTTACAATCCCAGGGACTCAAGAGGCTGAGGCAGGAGAATCACAAGTTTGAGGACAGCCTGCAGAGCTTAGAGATATCTTGTCTCAAAATAAAAAGTGGAAAGGGTTCAGTGGTATAGTTCAGTGGTACAGAGCCCTTGGGTTTGACCCCAATACCATTTAAAAAAAAACCTACAGTGAAATATGACTTCACAATCATTTTAACCTTACCCCACCCCAAAAAAGCAGATTGATTAGATCAGAAAAATACAATAGAGTTCTATATAATAGAATGCAGTGTGTCATTAACGATTACATTTGAAAGAATATTGACTGGAAGAAGTTCAAACTTTTGTAAGAAAAAAGGGAACTGAATCTAAATGGAAAATATACACAAAATTTTATTGGTTATCTCAGTGGTGCAAGATGGGTGAATGTTTTGTTTTTGTTCATCCATGTTTTATAAATCAATAATTAACACAAACTGTGTGCTAAGAAGAAAAGTATTTGTTTTTACTTAACTCTGTGTGGGGACTCTGTAGTCAGTGGGGTCATCTTTAGTGTTTATTCAGATCATTCCACACTTTTCCTTTCTCACCTGCACATGCCAATTAGCTTTCAGCCTTGATCATAAGGGGTGAGGTAGTGGGCACCATTCCAGAATTCCCACACTAAGAACATAAGCTTTCTAACCAAAATTATATTTTGTCTGATTTTTTTCATGAAGGTGGATCCAACCGAAGAGAAAGGGGTGCCCCACCCCTTCCTCCGATCCCAAGGTGATCTTGACCTGCTCTTCTCTACTCAAGCTCCAGAGCTGCTTCTGATGTTGCTGTCGGAGAATTACACACCCTCCTCCCCACTTCCCTGTCCCCTTCACTTAGGGCAAGCAGGAAGAAGGGAGGGTGAGGTGGGAATGTGTGTGTGCATGTATGTGTGTGTTGGGGGTGGGGGGAATCCAGTAAAGAGAAGCACCTAGCTTCTGTTGTGTATATTGTCAAAGCTATTGCTTGCTTCAGCTACAGCCTGCCAGTGTTGGCTGCTGGGATCAATAGGCTTTTGTGGAAAGTAGGCAGAGACAAATTGTATCCCAGCTTTCAACCAAACAAACTCAAATATTCACTGCTTATTTGCTACAGGCTATAATTATTAAAGTCCCTAAGAGCTGTTTTCGTCTGTGCGTTTTTCGCACGCTTGGCCTCCTGTCTGTTTCCATGAACCACAGACTGCCTAAGCAAATTGCTGAGCATGGCTCACATGAAGCTTCTGCAGTTACAAGGATATCCAATCTTTGGCAGACCAAGGTAGGCTCCAGGACAGAGTTGTCCAGCAGAAACATAATGTGAGCTCCATATATAATTGTAAAATTTCTAGTAGCCACATTTTTTAAAGATAGTGAAACAGGTGAAATGATAGTATATTTTATTTAACCTTACACACCCAAAATATCATTTCAACCAACAACCTATATAAAAATTACTAAGGAGACATTTTGCATTCTTTTTTGGTACTAAATCTTCAAACAAAAGTGTGTATCCTACTCTTAGAGCACATCTCCATTGGAATTATTCACATATAGAGTGCTCAGGAACCACATGTAATGGTAGCTACCCTAGTGTTCAGCACAGTTCTGGAAGAGGGACATTCATACCAAAATCTCTTATTTTAAAATCAAGATTGAGCTTTAGCAATTCAAGAGGCAATAAAATTAGGACCCAAAACCTTGTTTGGCAGGCAGCTTGACGTTTGATTTTTGTCATTTATTTTTTCCCTTCCCTTGCTATCTGTGTTGAAGTATTGCTTCACAGTACCAAGGTCAGAAATCAATCTAATAATGGTTTACAGTCATGTGGAATCAAGCCATTGGAAAGAAACCGAAAGCATGTCAGGCCTTCCTAACTCAAAACCAGCTGGCTTGTGTGTTCAATTGTCAGTTGGAGGCCTGTCTTGGAGTTTTGAAGTGGCCTTTGTTTTTCTCCCACTGAACAAACTCCTCAAGGCCTGGAGAAGCTAAGAAGGCTAGGTAGTAGGGGAAGAAAATGAGGCTCAAATCAGAATCATGGAAGAAGGGAATAGATTTGAGTTGATGGGCAAAACTCTACAAATCTAACTCTGATGCTGATGGGGTTGAGTGAATTAGGGAGCTTGTTAGTAGAAATTGGGAGGGAATTTGTTTTGAACTCTCCAGGAGAATCATTTTTTTTAGATCTATGCAAATAAAGCTCCACTAAAGGACCACGAGGAAGAGCCAGCCTTTGCCTTTTTTAAATATGATTTTGTTTACAAAATTTTACTGGGACTCTTAAATATAGCTATAGAGTTGGAAAAATATTTCCATGTTGATGTTTTATATGGTTATGTTTAAAATTACCATTTCTTATTTTTTAAAAGCATATGACCACATATGTATATACCTATCTACCTTAACTTTGTATCATGGGTTCAGTGTATTATTCATGTATTACTGGGAGATGCTAACAAGAAATCAATCCAAAGAAAAATTTGAAAGATGCATTCCTATTTATAGAATAAATAACTGTTTCATTTATATAAAAGCAGAACTTAGAGTTCTAATAAATGGAATGTCTAATAAATTATGAATTTACTGATTGAATATATTGTATTTTTATAACTTTCCTTGCCAAAGTCCCGGGTTTAGTACATTAGAGAACTTGTTTTCGCCCTCTTTTCTGCCATTCATCTGTCACCTTCCACATAGCCTCTTGGGCTCTTTCCCCAAAGAGAACCAAGGTATATAAAGGTGTAACAAGCTTGGTGATTTAAAATCACTGAGGTTTTGGTAATTTAGCAGCATCATTTTATTTTGGATTTTTGATCTGTTGGCAATAGTGAAAAACATCCCATAATAGAGCCCAGTGGCCCGCCGCACAAAAAATGGAGTTTGGGCTTACTAGCAAATGTGGAGAAAATTCTGACCTCCAAAAAGGTAGGTCTGAGTTTTGTAAGGGATAGCAGGAATTGAATAATCCCTTGTGTATCTCAACTTTGCAGGTACCTTTCTAAAGTTTGAAACAGGGTCACAGCTCAAAATTGCCATTCATCCAGAATAGAGATGTTTTAGACTGTATTTTTAAGGCAATATTTCATTAATACACCTACTTGCTGACTTTGAAAAATTATCAACCTAATTGTATCCAAAACTTTGAATAAGTTCTATGCTAAAATCTTCAAACTCTGGCAAATCACAAAAATGAGTATTTTCTTCCCTGAAATCAAAACTTACATGTATGTTCTTTCCATAAAATTTCCAGATAAATGTATTCAAGATACAATACAGTATTTTAACATTCACATATCATTTTATACTGAAATGTATTACAGTATTAAAATTCAGTGTTTGGTATTTATTTCACTATACATTTTATTTAGTAAGAGCTGAGAAAAATGTTTAATCCAATGGTGCCTTACTTTGTGATTTAAAAGAAATCAGCGTTTTATGTCTAAGTAGCAGGTAATTTGCATATTTGTAAAAACTCTTAGGCCTTTATATTTTAACTTGTAATACCCGTTTGTTATTTTAGTAGCAGAAATGGGATGGTTGTTCAAATGCCCAAAAATTTTTGGTATGAAATTAATTTTTCCCTGCTTATGGTCAGGGACTGTAGAGGAAGAAAAATATTTTTTTCATACCATTGCACTGTGTAATAGACACATTTTGGTATCTATGTCATCAGGATAGTTTAAATGGTAGGGTAGAATCTACCCTAGACATCTGCGTCTTTGTAAGTTAGCCAGACAATAAATAAAAGCAGAATGATACATGTCGACTGGTGGTTTTTCTTTAAGTATCGTCTATGTAAATATACAAAAAAGCAAGTGCCTGTTTTTTTGTCTTTTACTGTGGTAAAGAAAGACAAACTCAAAAAGGAGAATAAGGTCCACAAAAGTGGGTGAAACACTCAATGCACTCATTGAACCTCCTTGCTTATCCCTTCTTGTTTATTTTTCTGGAGAACCTGCCTCAGTCTGTAGAATGAATAGTGGAAGCAAAGAAAGGTGAAATTACAAAGGCTAACATGGACACTGAGTGATCTAGGAAAAGCCCCTGGGAATTTAGGAAGCCTGATGATTTTTAAATTATCTGCTGTGTATGTGTATACTGTATACACATATCTCAATATGGCACAATGGTTAGGTGCATTTGCTGACTCCATCTCTTTCTTGCAAGTCATTTCTCCATATCTATAAAATGAAGAACTAATAGCATCAATATGTGCGATAAACAAGATGATGCCCTTGTTCCTCAGTAAGTGGTAGCCACTGCTGATAGGAAGAAGGAAACAAATATGTACCAATTCCAGATTAACTGGAACCAAATCTGTTAGAAGGGAATTTATTAGTGTACTTTTAAAGGAGAGGAGTACTAGTAGATGAACAGCCTGTATCAGAAATGCAAAGCAACCTCTAGGTGAAGTACTGTCAGTCCCTATCCTTCACAGGCCTAGAAAATGAAAACACTGTTTCTTCAGTCAGAGATATTATTAGGGGCTGAGGTTGGTAGAGCATTAGCCTAGCATGTGTGAGGCAGCATCACATATAAATAAAATAAAGGTCCATTGACAACTAAAATAATATTTTTTTAAAAAGAGTTCTTATTAGGTTCAATCTGAAGTCACAGAAATTAAGAGCCAGAAAGAACCGTAAAGATAGGGTGGCTACAGAACTCATGGTCCACAGTATGACACTTTGGAGTGGAACAGTTGCTAGGAACATTTGCTGAGGTGCAGTAGGTATATATGGCAGCTGCCCTGGCAAGCTGGGTCTTTTGGTCACCCCACTAGAGGTCATCCAGACCTGTCCTGCCACCTTACAAATATGTTTTTATTTATTTATTTATTTTGGGGGGTGGGGGTACCAGGGATTAAGCCCAGGAGCACTTAATCACTGAGCCACATCACCAGCCTTTTTTTACAGGGTCTCACTGAGTTGCTTAGGGCCTTGATAAATTGCTGAGGCTGGCTTTGAACTTGCAGTCCTCCTGCCTCAATGTTCCAAGCCACTGGAATTTCAGACATGCGCCACTGTGCCTGGCACAAATGGGCATTTTAATGTCACAAAACACACCCTGCACATGAATAGGCAGTGTGACTACCCCACGCTCCCTTCTTTACTATCCTCCCTCCCCTTAGTCACTATTTCACATCTTTCACATTTGCTGTCAAGAAGAGGCTAAAGGAGAGGCCAGAGAGTCAGAGAGTGTGCCCTGCACACCCAAACCAGGATCCAAATCCTGGCTCTTGACACTTGTTCCCTGAGAAGACACAAACAAGTTATTTAAGCTTTTGGGGTTCATTTTCTCAGTTGCAAAGTGTTTAAAACACTTACACATGCAAACATCAGTCAAAATATTTAGCATAAGTTAGGCAAGGAGTGAAAATTGACCCCATTGTATTTCCTAATCCTTTTGCCATCACACCTAAAACATAGTCAGGAAGGAATTCCCAATGCAAAGAAGTCTGACAACACTTAATTACAGACTCTTTTGTAAAACTTTATTTCAGAGTTGGCCTTGTTTGTTCAAAGTGGACTCACTTATTTGGTTCGTTCATCCCTTCAGTGCACTTTCAGTAAGCACTTACAATGTGCCAGCTTTGTGGCAAAGTGGCATGTGTAGCAAATCTGTACATGCCAAGTGATCTCTGAGTGGCAGTTAGGAAACCCAGAACCTATTTTACCATGCATGGGTACAGCTTCACCCACCCAACCAGCAGAGGGCTTTCTACCAAGGAGGGAAGCCTACACTTTATCTTCCCCCTTCTTTAAGTAACTTAATTGCTTTTCCTTTTACCTGTTTTCTCAATGGCTGAATTACATTGATTTCTTTTAAAAATTTGATAGGAGGGCTGGGGTTATGGTTCGTTGGTAGAGCACTTGCTTCTTACATGTGAGGAACTGGGTTCGATCCTCAGCACCACATAAAAATAAATAAACAATATAAAGATATTGTGTCCATCTATAATTAAAAAATATTTTTTAAATTTTTTGATAGGAAAAATTTGGCCAGGTGTCTTTTTTGGTTTTGATGAAAAGTAAATTCAAGGATTCCAAGTTCCCTAAAGATTCCTATTCAACAGAGGCTTCCTAGACACACAAATGTCAAGTCAGTTTAAAGTGGTTCCTCCCCTGGCAACCTGACATCCTCCCTTCCTTCTCTTGCAACACTTGGCATTTAGTGCCTGTCTCTGGAGCTACTTATAGCATATGCTCTTCCTGTAAGTATTTAGAAATGTTCCTTTAATCGATATTACAACACAAATCCCTTTGGCTTAAAATGGTGCTTCCTTTATTACAAAGGTGTGTCTTTAACAAGCTAATTAAGGTTAAGCTTTGGGACTTCACCTGCAAAGGGAGTCCTAATTAGGGTCTTTAATATCTTTTTTTTTTTTTTGGTTGTGAGCTTTCATTAATACTTCTGAAATAGGGAATCTTAAATTCTCTCTAGCTTTGGGCCTCACAAAACCTAGTGTCTCCTTGCATGATTGTCTTCTTCAGCTTCTTGAAAAGTGAATGTCTTAAAAGTGTTCTTAAGCCACCAGCTTCCTATGAGTGACATGAGGGCATGAGGAGAAAAAGGAGATGGCAAAAGTATTTGCTTCCTTTGTACTCCCAGAGTGGCCTGCAAATATTCTAAAATGATTTGGTAAATGGGCTGTCCATATTGTATTAGAACCAAAGTCCCATAATGTGACCCAGCTAGGAAAATATGTGTGACCTTTCAGGTATCTGGGAAACAAGTCTGGATGATATTAGACATCAAGCTCAAATTTACCTTCAATTTTGACCCAGGAAGACACCTGCCAGAATACCTGGATTATCCATCATGGACTTAGCATATGTATATTTAATCATGAGGGACTCCCACCCTTTTCCTGTTTTCTTTTTAATAAGTTGAACATCACTCACCAAAAATGCTATCTATTTTATTAGTTAAATTATAACATTATATTGTATGCATATACAAATGTAGAACAAAGAATCCTGCTATTGTATATAATTATAATGCACCAACATTTTTTTTTTAATGAAAACATGCTATGTATTTCAGATAGTTCATGGACCACATAGAAGCACATGGTTAGGAAGACCCAAATAATTTATGGAGCTATTGAACATTTACTCATTCAAACAATCAATAAATACTGGTTGAAAAACTATGATTTTTAAAACATTGGTAAAGATATGTATTATATTCTAGAAAGGTCTAAGACCTAGTCCTAGATCCAAGGCTGGAAGTTGAAATTCTAGATCCAACCAAAATTTCTGCAGGTAGGCACAACACCATTCTACCACTGATTCTAGAATGTTCCTCATCACCAACATAGGGCTATATGGTTGGTCGTTCACATGAAAAGGGAGATGTCCCATTCACTGGCTCCTTAGCAATTTGCTTTTAGAGCAAAGGTAAGGATAGGTCCCAAATGGGACTATAGGGGGAAAAAAGGAAAAATATGCAACCTAGAAATGAAAACAATAATTTTATACTTTCATAACACTCTACCTAATTTATTTGCCTAAATTACAAACTTACCTACTGTCTTTTATGTTTCATATAGCCACCACTAATTATTATCTAGTAGGTACTATAATTTGAACTATGGTTTTTGCAAATATTACTGCTAATATTTCTATCTTTACACATAGAGAAATCAAAACCTGCATGGATTAGAGATTTATCTCAAGCCACTTGCCTTGAGTGGATCTAGAATTCAAATTCCAAAATATTGACATTTCATAAAAAGCAAGAACATTTTAATAAACCAGGGTAAGGGAAGACCTAATCTGAGGTCAAGGACAGCAGGCTCAACTGGATAAATACAGATGCCTCCTGGAAAACTCCTTATTTTCTCACTGGACCATGGACTGGCTCTGGTCATACACCAGTTATTGTCACCTGAGGCACATTGCTTCTTAAATGCAATCTAAATCTTTAGTTCTTTACAATTTAGTGGGTGGTTATAAACCTTACTTAAGGCTTTAAAAGTGGCATTTTATACGCATGCTTTTGAGCTCATCTTATCAGATACTTGCTACTTTTTAAGATGATATCAAAGGAGCTGCTAAAATTCAAATGCCATTTCACTGAACAGTTGCAGGTTTCTAAAAGTCCCCATGGAAGAGTCAAACTGCACCATGAATAGTTAATTTGCTCTCTGGTGTATCTCCCATCCTTTGTACAGCTCATTATTTGTTGGGTATTTCTACCATTCATATCATAAAGTTGTAGTAATGAATTTCTTTTCTTATTCTCCATAGAGTTTGAAAAGCCATGTGGCTTTTAAAAATACCAAATAATAGGATTTTCTTTTTTCTTGTAAAAGCCCGAAGTAGACCTTGTGCACCACAGTCAAACAACTTAGCACTTATTCACAGGGGAAATGAGGTTAGAGCAAAAAGACAGTCATATTCATATTCAACAAAATTGAAATAAGTGCCTCCACAATTTCAAAGTATTTTTCCATACATTACCTCATTTGTACCCCACCGCAGCCCTCTGCAGGAGGCAGAAACCAATCCTCCATGATAAAGATGCAGGATTAATGACACTGAGATGTGGGGGTTGGTCAATCAAGATCTCACAACTTTTATGTTGGGTAAAAGGAGGCCAGGATTAAACCACTCTCTGACCGTTTCAGTCATGCTCATTTCATTATATTTTTACCCTTATTTTCCTCATTAGTTTGACAAATGTTAAGAAGATGTGGGATGAGCTCAGTTGAAGACTCAGAAGTTCAGTGCTACATCTTGCTCAGGTCCCAGGAGCTGAT